GTTCAGGATTTTAATGATGTTTGGAATTTGTTGTGTGGCTGCATATCAAGAATAGTGCGTCATGCAACAAGGATGTATTTGTTTTGAAGGGTGCACTTTTCTGAATGCATCTTTTCTTTATCTCAAGACGAGCATCTGCTCTTGAGTCTCTTTGCCCTAAAAAGAGATGTGTGAAGCTCCAAGTTACTCTACCAACCTTTTAAGTTTACCATATCCATGTACTCCTCAAGTGAGGAGATTGTACCCCAAGTGTTAATCCAGCTGTTCCTGTTATCCAGGGCTGGGAATCTGTTGTGATTTCCACTGGAGGGTACTGGGGAGATAGTTTCCCTTTTCCTCTTGGTAATGTAGAAGCTCCATTTGGAGCACTTTGGTTTGGAGCCTGTTTTGCATACATCAGCCCTGTCTTTCGTTTCTAGGTGTTAGAAGAGTAGTGGATGGTCTTCGTAGCTTCTCAAATAGAGAGCTCTGAAATGGTAAATGAGACCAAGACTGGCACTTTTCAGGACCAGGTATTCTGGATTTCATCAGTCCTTGCAACATGTTCTCTACTGAAAATTAGAGATTCAGGCCTGCAGTGAATTTGACTGCTGAAGGATTTGGACACACCACTGGTTAGTCGTAGAAAAGCATTTTGCAGGAGGTTTCTATACATGTTTACACATTGCCTTGAGTTCTGAATTACCATATATTACCTTGGAGAAAGTATAATCATCTTTGCTTATTCCTGAAACATGATGCTGACATCTCCGCATATCCTTCTTGATGACAAGATTACTACAGGTGCATAGAACTGTGAAAGATTACTCTGTATACTGAAAGTATTAGTAAGCTCTTAGTAATCTTGCTGCTTTTGACTTCAGTAACAAAACAATGGATAACTTTATACTTTGAAATACAAGACCTAGCCAAAATAAAAGGGTAATGGTCTGTCTTTTTAAACATCTTGGATTTAATGTATTAATAATCATTCCTGCTGGTGCTGTAAATGTATGGAGCTGGAAAAGATTCCAGTGTTTCCTGTCTTTCTATGAGCTTATTTCTTTGCAAACCAATTACGTGGAAGCTTTTTAGTTTTGATAGTAACTCTTGGGTGTTTCAAGACCAAAAATGAGAAGCTGTTCCAAGTGCTGCAGCACATCCTCAGGTCTCTGCTCAGCTGGATTCCTTCCCAGAGCTTTGTCAGAACCCCATGTTCACTCCTCATGAAGTGTCCTGCTGACAGTGGCAACTGACTTTATTGTATGTTCCCTAAAAGTGTTAAAGGCAATGTAAATCTGTTTCATAGGAATCTTCTTAGCAAGTACTGTGTAGGTGAAAAGTCCCTGTAGCTTGTTTGTTCTAGTGGAGAATCCATGTGTTGTGAAGCCGCAAAGCTTTTTACGTGGAGCTGTTGAGTGAGCAATGCAATTTGCTGCTTTCCATTTGGATTCCAAGAACTGGGAAGGAGGAGGGATCCTGTTTGCTCTGTTTGTGTAAAACTCTTCCTTTTCCTGAGCATCTCTTGCTTTACCAAGATACCCCATGGCATCACAGTGTCATGCTCTACCTTGTATTTCTCTTACTACTAATAGGTAAAGCACTGCAATGGGCAATGCCTACAATACTCTGTGTTAAAGCTACTACTTGGAAGTAGAAGAGGGGCTCGTGTATCTTCATTTCTCATTTGAAATGTCTTAATGTGAACTTCATAACGCTGGGTTTAAAATTGCTTTTTGTTCTGCAGTTGTTGCCTGTGGTAGGGAAAATCCAATTGGTGCTGTTTGGTTTACAGGAGGAAAAAAGGGAATGATTGGTTGCCTGTGGAGTTGTAGTTAGCTGGTCCTTTTTCACAGGAGAGAAAAAGCAGTTTGTTAAAGCCTGGAGGTGTAATACACTTGTGGCTGTGTCCCCTGTTCCTGCTCTTAGTGAATGCCTTTCATTTAAGTACTTAGAAGAAGAATCCATCTGCGATGTGGGTGCTGCTACCCTGTGAGGATAGGGAAGGAGGCCTCATCCTAGGTACCTGGTTGAGGGTTCTGCTGGGAGGTGAAGGTGCACAGAGCTTCAAGAGATGTACACTTCGAGTTAGTCTTTGCTGGGTTACAGCTAGAAATCTGAAGTGACCTGTGCCTGGTGGTGTGTCAGGTTTGGAGGTGGTGAGCACTGAGAGGGAGCACCCTGGCATCTAACGGAGCTGTAACACCTGCAGGGGGAGGCATTTAAAAGAGCTTTTGTGCCAGGTGCTGTTTCAGTTTACTTGTGCAAAACTGGTCTTTGGATAGCTCCAGTGCCTGATGTTGTGCTCCCAAAGGGATCACTTGGCACTGCTCAGTGAGGGATATTCATGAGTGGCAATTCAGAAGGTGGCTGCTGCTTTGCCCTCCTTCCCTTCCCTAGTCTTTGCTCTGAGTGCTGTGTTGTGCTTCCTATGGACCTAACATGTTACTCCTTACACCACCTATAGGCACTTCCCATGCCTGAGGATGGAGCAGGGATGAAGAATCTGTTCTGAATGTAATAGTTTTATTTGGATTCGTACACAGCACTTGACTAACTGGATGAGGAATGTCTTCAACCAGGTGATGTTGAAATCCGTGTCTTCATAAGCATCTTCAGCACTAGGAGCAGCCAGGTCAGTGCCGGTTTGTGTCAGTGTAGTTGGTTCAGGCAGGGATTTCAATGTCCTTTTGGCACCTCTGAACTGCAGAGGCAATGCAGGAGGAGGGTAGGTGACAATGGTTGATGCGTATCTTATCATTTTTCTGTGTATATTCATCTGTATTTAATGTAGCAGCATACTACTGGAATAACTCGTAGCACTGGATCTAGTCACGTGTAACTGAGCACACATGTATTTTTCTTATTGTCCACAAACTGATCTTTGTAGGAATGTTCCCAAAACTCTGTGCTGCTCGGCTGGAAACTGTCAATGTTTGTGCTGTTTGTCAGTCTCTGGTTTTGTTGGTGTCCCTGTTGAGGGACAGTTGTGTAAGATTGTGGGCGATGGCTATGTAAGTCCTTTTAGTTCATGCACTGCTTAAAAACCCCTGTTGTACCATGTTTAGGGGAGCACTGTGTCCTTTTTCCTCTAAATGTATTTGTTCCATGAAGTTTCACTTGTATTACAGTTTATTTTTATTCCCTATGGAAATAAACACCCTGCCTTTTTGAAGTAAATGACTTCTCTGTTTGATGGTTAATTAAACTCAAAGCAGAACTTCACACTTGGAAGTGTTAAAGACTTGAGTAGTGAGCTTATCTTAAAATGCATCTGGGCAATCCCAGACACAACTACAGGCTGGGGGAGACTGTTTTGAGAGCAGCCCTGAGGAGAAGGAGTGGGGGGGAGGAGGTGTTGGTTTATAAGAAGCGCCCCATGACCCAGCAGTGTGTGCTTGAGCCCAGAGAGCTGGGATGGTTCAGCCTGGAGAAGAGAAGGCTCCTTAAGGGGAGACCTTAGAGCAGCTCCCAGTGCCTAAGGGGCTACAGGAAACCTGGAGAGGGGTTTTGGAAAGGGGCGTGTAAGGACAGAACAAGGGGAATGGCTTTAACTTGACAGAGGGGAGACTGAGATGAGCTCTTAGGCAGAAGCTCTTCCCTGTGAGGGTGCTGAGACGCTGGCACAGGGTGCCCAGAGAAGCTGTGGCTGCCCCATCCCTGGCAGTGTTCAAGGCCGGGTTGGACACAGGGGCTTGGAGCGACCTGCTCTAGTGGAAGGTGTCCCTGCCCATGGCAGGTGTTGGAACTGGATGAGCTTTGAGGTCCCTTCCAACTCGAACAATTCTGTGATTCCAGTTCCTTTCTCTCCCAGACCAGAAGCCAGGTGACCTCCCTGGTTTTGGAGGGGCTGAGTGCAGCACTGCTCAGCATCTTAAAAACCAGCCACCAAAAGTCATAGTGCTGATGAAGCTGTATTAAATCATAGTATCTTCTGTACACTTCATTACTCTGATTTTTAATTTTAATCAGATTTTTCTTTACATATTAAAGCCCAATTCCTTTTCAGTGTTTTCCTCCTCCTGAAAAGCTCTCTATCCAGCACTCATGGTCAAATCTCTGTACAGGTGGCTCCAGGCTGACCTAAAAAGCATTGTGAGAAGCAAGGAGACCTTTCTTCTGGCCTGCTGTAAGGAATCAGGTCTGACCCATGTGGGCATTGTGTGGTACCTGGTGAAGATTTCTTCCTGACAGCTTTGAGTGAAGAACTTGCAGTCCATCTGCTAATGAATGGTATCATCTAAAAATGCTCCTTTATCCAGTTCTTTTCAGTCAGAACTTCAGTTGTGAGTCCAAGTGGAGTTTTTTTGAGTGCAGGCAAAGTCAGGTGAGAGAATCCTCAAGGAAGAGGCAGATCCCAGGTACGAAACATACCCCATGTGGACAACTAAGATGGGCACTGGTGCTGTGATAACTCAGAGCTGTGCAGCACCAGTCCAGCTGTACAATTAAGCACAGCTCTGCACAGCAGAGGGATGATGTGACACGGATTGATTTGATGTGTATAAGGCTGTACAAAATGCTTCTGGATGCCACTTGGATTGGTAAATCCATGTAAACGATTTATGTCTGTGCCTGGAGAAGCCATGGAGGCTGTTTTAATAACAGTCTGTAAAATAAGCACTTGGAGGCAAAAATACACCCAACACTTGGGGATTCTCAGTCCCCAGGTGCTTCAGAGTGTTTTTCCTTCTTGCTAATTTTAAATGTTCTTAATTTTGCAGTGAAATCCTTCATGTATCTAAATGAGCCTTGCTTGCACTTAATTGGATTATTAGCATTAACACTGCCTGCAGTTGATAAAGCTTTAATTCACATGTGGGGAAGCGCTGTCTGACAGCATCTTCATGAGGAGGATTTGAAACTTCCATGTGGAAGCAAACTCCAGTTCTGAGGGGGCAGGTTCCGTTTCAAGTCATTGTAGGAGTATTGCTAAAGCTTGTGGGGTGTTTTTTAAGGGCTGCGCTAGTGGAAGGTGTCCCTGCCCGTAGCAGGGGGTTTGGAACCAGCTGAGTTTTAAGGTCCCTTCCAACCCAAACCAGTCCGTGACTCTGATTAATACACCCGTTAAACTGCAAAGAGCCTTGGAGCCCGGGCTCTGGAGCTGCTGTGGGTGCGTTTGCTGTGGGAAGGGATGGTCTTTAGGTGTTCGTGCCCTCTCGTGGTTAATACCTGAATCACCCAGCTCCAGGCTGGGTGGTGAGGAGGTGGCCAGCAGCAGGCAGAAGTGCTGGGAATGTGCAGGTGTTTCCACTGGCACGAAGGAAACTCCCCAGTTCAGAGACTTTGCTGTGGTTTGGCCCTGACTTAAAGCTCAAAGGCAGGAGGCAGAAGCATCACCACGAAGTAACTGCATGTTTCCAAACATAGGGGCTGTCGATAAATCCTTAATCCCTGCAAAATGATTTATTTGGTCCTGCTTAGCACTGAACTTTTAAATTGGAATGCTTAGGGCTGTTAAACCTGAAAGCTCATTACCTCGCTCGGCTGTGTTAATAGCTATAATCTTTTTAATGGAAGCAACTTGGTTGGATGGGATTTACCTTCCCAAAAAACCTTCTTGATTGGCATTAAATACACTTCTGCTCTTTAATTCTTCCCCAATTAATGAAGAGCTGACAAAAGGAGCTGCTTTGCCTGCAGCACAGGTCAGGTCAGCTGGCAACTCCAGAGCTTGAAGCTCAGGCAGGAGGTGAAGGTTTCTCCCAATCCTCTGCCTTCTCTGATGTTGGAAGCATTGGGAAGCTTCTCCAAAATGGGTCAGACTCATCTGATTGGGGTTTATCTGAATCTGCTGATTTAAATATTCATGCAGGACAGTATTTAACACAGTGCTGTGGCTGTTCAGGGAGCACAGTGAGGTGTCACTTCATGTTCTTCCAGTCGAGGGTGGATTTATCAGCTAGTACTTTGTAGTTTGTGCTTCATTAGTATTTGGTTTAATCTCTGCTCCCTACCAAAGAGCTGGTTCTGAGCCTTCTTTTCTTGTTTAACAGCTAAACAACAGCAGTAGCAACAAAGGAATATGCAGTTTATTATTACATTTTCCACTCAAGGGTTTCCCTTTCATCTCTCAGTTCCCTTACAGTTCCCTGCAATTCATGTTTTCTAATGAGTGTATTCATTTGTTGTCTGTATCCCCTTGTTTTTCCCTTTAAAACACACAGGATCTTTAATTGCTGCTTTTATGCCTGCATTTTGTTGCAGGGGTTTCCAGCCAGGCATGGCTTTTTTACCTGCAGCATCCCCATTGTGGCTGTAGCTTCTTGACTCTTGATAAACCCTGAACTCCTGCTTTTGCTCTGATGTTTATCCGTATTTTTCCTACTCCCTAATTCCATCTATAATGTTGACTTTGGAAAATTGACCTTTTTGAGGTAACCTATTTTTGAGTGAATTTGGAGAGAGTGAAACTATGAGGAAGCGGAAGTCTCAGGCCTGTGAGTACTGGCGGTTGTCCTGCTCTCTGTGTTTTCCACAGCGTGCCTGCAGACTGTGAGTGTGATGGTGGCTGTGGGGACACCACAAATGTTTTGCAGAGCCCTGATTTTACTCTTACATCAGTGGAGATATTTCTGCTGGGTGATTTGGTTCCCCTGTTGTTATCTCGTCCTGCTGATAGCGCTGCCTCCAACTGTCACAGCACTCTTGCTCCACTGCTGGGAAGTTTGGAAGAGTTTACAGGGAACTGGATAAAGTAGGATTGCACTTACCAGCTGACAGCTTTTGATAAGGCAGCCCCGCCACTGCTCCCTGTAGTTTTGTTTGCCCCTGTGAAGCTTTCTGCCTTGCTGTGTGCTGCTGAATTTCATGAAGCCAAAGCAGGGGTTGGTTCTGGCAGGTGGAGCTGGGGGGGGGAGGCCTGAGGAGCAGCTTGGGTGAGGAATCTGGACCCTCCTCAGTGCCTTTTGTCCTCCCTATGTTTAATAAACAACTCTGGTTGTTGCAAATGGTTGTTTGCATGGCTCTGGAAGTGGAAAAGGCAGTTGGGCGTTGGGTTAAGAGAGAATAAATAGGGACGATTGGCAGTGACCATGGTAAGTGGAGGCTGATGGTGCAGCAGGGAGTCAGACCACCGGTACCCTGTGATTCCTGCAAGGGAAGGGTGGAACAAACACTGTGTGTGTGCTCAGAGGGGTCGAGCAGCCCCAGCACCTGTCCCAGTGCCCCTCTCTATATTTACCCAGGGGGAGCTTTCCAAGAATGGAAGTGGTAAGATAAAACCCCCGAGGGGCTAAAATTAGCCCCTGCGCCCTGGCCCGTCTGCCCGCGGTGGCATTTCAGCTGTGAGCTCCACAGCCTGCGCCGCTCCGGCCGCACAGAGGCAACGTCCACCCCATCACAGCAGGATCCTCTCTCTTTTCGTTGAAACCAAGGGAGGACCTGGCCATGGGACCACCGCTACCCCACTAACCCTGGCTCTGAGCATCACCAGGTAAGGCACCAGCGTAACGCTGCCCAGGCAGCATCGGGCAGTCAGAGGTAACTGGGAACCAGCTGTAAATTGTGTGTTCTCTGTCACCTTCGGCTCCAGTCAGAACCTCTTTTTGGGGTGTCTGAAGATGCACAGCTTCCATCCTGTCAGCTCAGTTTGAGCTCTTATGGTTGAGGAGCAGCTGTGAGCTCCCCATGTGAACACTTACACTGTCAAAGTGACATCCCTTTGGAAATGTGTGTTCTGTGGAGTTATTACTTTTCTAGTCTGTTTTCCTTGGGAATAAAGCTGGGCCTTCTTTTTGAATTGAATCTGCACTAAACCCCTGCCTCCATTAGCCACGCTGGTGAGGGGGTCCAAAACTCCAGAGCTTGTTATATTATAGAACCATAGAATGGTTTGTGTTGGAAGGGACCTTAAAGCTCACCCAGTTCCAAGCCTCTGTAAGGAATGGGGCAGCCACAGCCTCTCTGGGCACCCTGTGACAGCGCCTCAGTACCCTTGCAGGGAAGAACTTCTGCCTAAGAGCTCATCTCAGTCTCCCCTCTGGCAGGTTAAAGCCATTCCCCTTGTCCTGTCCCTATGGGCCCTTGTCCAAAGCCCCTCTCCAGATTTCCTGGAGCCCCTTTAGGCACTGGAGCTGCTCTAAGGTCTCCCCTTAAGGAGCCTTCTCTTCTCCAGCCCAGCTCTCTCAGTCTGGCTCCACAGCAGAGCTGCTGCAGCCCTCAGCATCTCCGTGGCCTCCTCTGGACTCACTCCAGCAGCATGTCTAATGAGTAATAGTAACATTATAATTCCTATATACCTTGTCTGGGTTAGTGCAACCGGTGGAAGCGCAGCAGAGCTCTGCTGTCACTTGCTGTCCTTACATTTAACCCATTTGAACAAGCTGCAGTGTGGCCTCGTGCTGGGGCTCCTCTCAGCCTGCACGGCTCGCCTGGGCAGGCAGATGCAGGCCAAGCCTCCTGTGGCTGCTCCATTTGCAGAAAGAGGCTGATTGCTCAGTGCAGCTCCTTGCCTCACCCAGGGCAGGATCAGAGCTGCCTGGGGACACGCAGCTCTGCTGCTGCTGCTGCTCCCCAGGGGAACCCGAGCTGTGACCCGAGGGGTGAGGAATTCCAGCGCCCTTCCCAGCGACGGCACTTCTAGCTGCTCAGGTGCCGGCCCGGCCATTGCATTCCTCTCCCTGCTGCTGCCCGGCCATGGTGAGGCTGGATCCTGTGTCCTGGAGATGTGTTGGGGTCCAGTCCCAGCTGTGCTGTGACCAGCTCAGTGTCCCCTCGCCTTCCATTGCCCCACTGCAGAAATCACAGAACCCAAGACTGGTTTTGCTTGAAGGGACTTTAATGCTCATCCAGTTCCAAACCCCTGACCTGGGGTGTTTCCACTAGAGCAGGTTGCTCCAAGCCCCACCAGCCTGCCCTTGAACACTTGCAGCCCAGCTCAAGCAGACAGGAGAGAGTAGGGGGTTTGCTAACTCCAAACATCAGCATAGTTTTGGGAAGGGTGATGCTCAAAGTCCTTTAACTGGCCACCATTGTATTCACCTCATCTGTTTTGAAATGCAACCCCTTTGAAAGTGGCAGGGTGTGAAGTCTTTGTAATGCTGACAGTACAGCATTAAATGATTATAAAGATAATAAAGTAAAAGCCTGGGGGCTCCACAGGCAGCATCTCAACTGCAACACCAGATTCAGGTATCTCAGCATGTTCTCAATCGCAGCATTTTAGGGGAGGTGGCCCATATATGTGCTACAACAGTGACCTTTGCCTTAGCTCTTCAGCATGGATTTCTTCACCCATGGATGCAGGGCCATAAGCATGTCAGCAGCATCACAACCCAATATTATTTGTCTTTTTGAATCATAGAATCATTTAGGTTGGAAAAGACCTTTAAGATCATCAAGTCCAACCATTCCCCAGCACTGCCAAGGCCACCACTCGCCCATGTCACTGAGGGCCTTGTCTCCATGGTACGTGAACACTTCCAGGGATGATGATGACTTTTTGGGAAGAAATGGAGAGCCCTCCTGAATTTGCCATTCAAAACACTACAACAAAAGGGTGGTGCTGGTGCCAGGGGCTGGTTCTAACCCAGTGGTGGTGCTTTTGTTGTCGTCCCACAGATCTGTGGCTTTTCCCTTTATGATGAAAGTGGCACACAGGAGGCAGACCAACGAAAATGAGCCTCATGGACATCACCAAAATGTTCTCCATGCTCCAGCCCAAAGAAGATGAAGACGACGACAACAACGCTGAAAGCGAGGAGCTGAACCGAGCGGTAGCAGAGGACAACCACCAAACCCTGGAGAACCTCTTATGGCAGGACAGGTACAAGAGGGTCATCAACCGCCAGAGCGGCTGGGGCATCCCCAGCACGCCGCTGCGCCTGGCTGCCACGCGGGGCTGTGCCCGGAGCATCAGGGTGCTCTTGGCACATGGGGCAGAGGTGGACAGCCTGGATGTGAAGGCTCAGACCCCGCTCTTCATCGCGGTCAGCAATGGCCACCGGGAGTGCGTGAAGGTCCTGCTGGAGGCAGGGGCCAGCCCCTGCGGCAGCATCTACAACAACTGCTCCCCGCTGCTCATCGCCGCGCGGGACGGGAACGTGGACATCCTGCAGCAGCTCCTGGACCACGGTGCGGAAACCAACGTTCAGGCCAGGCTGCCCCAGTGGGTAGCCAACTCGGTGGCTTGCTCCGGTCCTCTCTACCTGGCTGCTGCATACGGGCATCTGGAGTGCTTCAAGAGGCTGCTGCTTTATGGGGCTGATCCCAACTATAACTGCACCGAGGAGAGTGTGATCGCCCACATCAAGGAGCCCAAGACTCTGCTGGAAACCTGCCTGAGGCATGGCTGCAGGAGTGAGTTCATCAAACTGCTCATTGACTTTGGAGCCAACGTGTACTTGCCCAACATTACGGTATATGAGGCCACACCACGCAATGAGAGCCTGGAGCTGCTGCTGCAGGCAAGAGGTAACTTGTGAGCGTGACCCCGGGGCTGGAAATGAGGATTCATTCTCTATCTGGGAGCATGTTGCTTCAGATCCCCCTTCCCTTCACCTGTGTTTCCCACCAGCCTTACCCAGGCTTTCCCACAAGCATCAACTCCCTTTGCAGCATCACTTGACTTGCCTGGGTCTCTCAAACTCTGCAGTGTTATCACTGTTTTACTCTGAATTCTTATTCCTCCCTGTTCCTCAATGGTTGATGTGCTCAGGCTGAAAGATTAAGTCACCAACTGTGAACAGAGCAAGAGAAGGACATCACAAGTCCTGGAGAGCAGGTCTACCACCGGTGACTGGGTGGCTTTGCTACATGCGCTACTGCATGCCAAGGCCTCACCACCCTCATCTGTTGAGTTAGAGGCTGCTTTTCACCATTCCCCTCCTTTCTGCTGTTCAGCTTTGGCCTTCCTGTACTGCCTATGTCCAGAAAAAATGCACTTAGGTCTGTGTGAGGGTGGAAGATTCCATCTTTGTGTGCCTGGCTCCTATAAAACACACGCTGCAGAGCTTGAGGCTCAATCCAAGGTGTAAGCCCATATAGCTCTAGCAAAGACATTGCTTTTCATTAATTTATTGAATTAGTATTAATTATTATTGTTGTTGGCATTATAATTTTCATTATCACTGCCATTATTATTATTTTATTATCCTTTGCTTAGGATCATGACTGTGTTGGAGGGGAGTGGGGTTGTGTGTCCTGAAGGTAACCATCTGCCTCCTTTTTCCCTCCCTCTCCTTTCACAGCTCATCCCAAATCCTTGATGGCTCAGTCCCGGCTGGCCCTGAGGCGCTTCCTAAAGCCAGCTGCCCACCTCCATGCCCTTGGCAAACTGGAGATCCCAACGGCCCTGGCAAACTACCTCCAACACCAGCCATGACACACAGGCCAGTGCGAGGGACGCCTGCCCTGTATGTGTGCTGAGCACCCACATTAAAAGCTGCTGTGACACCTGCTCAGTGTGCAGCCACCTGAATTTGTCATCACAGAGTCATTTCTGCTTATGAGATGTCTCCAAAAGGCAGTGCCCAGGCAAAAAGATGGGAAGGAAAGAGCGGGAGAAAACAGAGACCTGAGCTCCTGGTCTGCATCAGGGTGATGGTAAAGCAGGGTCTGGTTTAGCTGGGTTTGACTCTAAACCCTCTGCACTGAAGGGTTTTACATCTCTAGTTGGTACTGGTTGGAGAAGGGGGTGGGAAAAGGTGTGCAAAGTGGAGTGAGGTGAGTAAAGGCTGCTTTTACCTCCTTTCCTCCTGGGTAAGAGTGGGATGGAGGGAGGCACCATCAGGCTTTATGACCTCAGCTGCTTCTAAACCCCCTTTCCCAGAGGTTTTGGAGTGCCTCTGTTCAGCAGCCTGGCAAGCACTGAAGGAATCCTGGACCTGGCCCAGCCCATCACTGTGCCTGTGTGCTCTGGACCTCAGGGCACAGTCAGTGAAAAGCCCAGGGGCTGGGATAAGACCCAGAGGCCAGAGTTGTTCCCAGAGGCCCCAGCTCTGTCTCTAAACATCATGGGTTCATGTCATGGCCGAGGGGTTTTTGGGGTTGGGCAGGGGCTGTTGTTTGATTAAAAATGTTCTTATTAAACTATTGTGACCTGTTTCATAAAATATCTCTTAATCAAAGAACCCAGCATCCTTTGGAAGGGAATTTCAGGCTGGAGCAGGGCATCCAGGCAGGGATGCTGCTCCCACTTTCCATGGTTCTCTCCAGCTCTCCTAACGAGCAATGGGGACAACGCTTGGACATCAGCAAATTGCCCTCACTGCCTGGAGGAGCTTTGCTGGCTCTTCCTGCTGCAGGGAGTTGAAGGATAAACCACACCGCTCTGGACAGCGTTTTGGGATGGAGCAGAATGCAGATGGCTGAGCCCGTGCAGCCCTAGCTGCATCCCACATGGAAGTGCTGTCAGGGCAGAGGCACATGGCCTTCAGGAGCTTTGAGGATTGCTCTCTGCAGAGCACAGGCACGTTTCTCCCTGATGTACGGGCATGGGAGGAGCTGAGGGTGTCTCCTGTGCTCGGGTGTCCACGCTGCCAGTCTCGTGTGGGGCCTGTGTGTGGCTGCAGGGACACGTGGAGCTCTGCTGGAGGAAGGAGGTGTCTCCGCTGCCGGGCTGCTCGGCTGGGGCTGTGCGGTGGGCGCTGTGAGCAGGGCCCGGGCGCTGCGCTGCGAGCTGGGTGTGCGGGGATGGGTGTGCCGGGGCGGGCGTTAGGACCCGGTGCCACCCGCGGCTCCGCTGACGTCAGGGAGGCCACGCCCTCGCCGTGACGCAGGCCCCGCCCCTCCGGCCGCGCCGGGCGGACGCGCGGACCCGGCGGCCCCTCGGCCTGGGCTGCCCCGGGCCCCGCCGCCCGCCCCGGCCCCTCCGAGCCCCGCGGGCCGCGCCGGGCCCCGCCGCGCCGCCGGTGAGTGCCGGGGGTTGGGGAGGGGGTGGGGGTTGGGGGGCGCGGTTCCTGCGGGCGGGCCCGGGGCCGCCGCTGCCTCCCGGCGCGGTGGTGGCGGCGGCGCTTCCCCGCGGCTCCGGGCCGGGGCCTCCCGCTGCCGTGCCCAGGGTGCACTTGGGAGTGGGGAGCCGGGTCCCGCCGCCCCCTCCGCAGGGCCCAGCGCCGGGGGGCGGAGCGGGGCTGGGGTTGAACCCGTCCCTGGAGCGCTCAAGGCCGGGTTGGACGGGGCTTGGAGCAACCTGGACTGGGTTGGGTTGGAAGGGAGCTCAGAGCTCACCCAGCTCCAAGCCCTGCACGGGCAGGGACACCTTCCGCTGGCGCAGGTTGCTCCAAGCCCCGTCCGACCTGGCCTTTTCACGTATTTATTGGCTCCAGCCTCAGGTTGGCAAAGGGGACGTTATTATTTCAGTTCTCATGTTACCGACATCAATCCAGGATCAGATTTAAAACCGCCCTCTCTGCTCCTGGGATAATCTGATCAGGGCGGTTCATTGTGGGCGCTTCGGATGCAGTTCCCTCTCGCTGGAGAGACGGTTTGGAAAACAACTGCAATCCTCTTAAAAAAAGCTAACAAGTGCATTAGAGCAGCTTTCCTCCTGGGCACGTGCTCAGCGTGAGCTGCATCCTGGCTGGGTCCTCATCGGAATGGTCCCTGTAGCTTGGCACTAGGTGTGGGAGGGCTGGGATGGGGTTTGGCCGGTGTTGGTCCCTGTCCCAGCCTGTCTTTGCCAGCTCAGTGGCGGATGGTACCTGAACCTGGTGGCAAAAGGGCCGGGAAACCAAAGGACTTGGAGGGAGGTGGCTCAGGGATGAGACCTGCTTGTCACTGGGCACTGGGAATGGTTTTCCTACACTTGTAAGCTGCTGCATTTGGGCAGCGCGATGTTTTTATGCCCGTTTTAAGGAATGGAAGGAGCTGAGTGGCTTTTGGAGGTATTTGCAGCTCCAGTTGGAGCTGGTGACCAAGGTCTTCACCTCTGGCTTTGCACCATCCGCTGCCCTCCTCTCACATCTCTCCCCTTTGTCTTTGCTTTAGCTCAGCTGTGATGCCTCAATCTCCGCACCCGGAAGAGAACTCCACTCCCAAAGTCATCCTTTCCAGCTAGATGCACCCAAACCGGGCTGCTGCCATGGAAACGGGCTGCACGGAGGAGCCTGCCCGGACCAGGACACAGTCGGTGGCCTGTGCCAGTGACCAGCAGCAGGAGGAGAGCGGGGACCAGCTCCCTGAGCAGGGCAGTGCCTCCATTGCAGCCGCAGAGCCGCAGCCGGCACCTGGGAAGCTGAAGAAGACGGCGTTCAAGCTGTTTGGAGGGAAGAGGAGCATCTGCACGCTGCCCAGCTTCTTTGGGGGCAGGAGCAAAGGCCAGGGCAAGGCAAACTCTAAGAAGGGCCTCAGTAAATGTAAGACCCACGACGGGCTCAGCAGTGCTGCTTATGACAGAGGTGGTGGGGCGCAGCTGGAAAGCCCCGCGGAGGGGAGCAGGGACCTGCATCCCGGCCCTTTGCCGAGCTCCCAAAGCGCTCACGTTGCTGTAGACACCAGCGCCAGGTTTGATCTTGGCCAGCAGGATGGCTCGCCGCCCGGGAGCATTGAGGGCTGTGAGAAAAAGCCCAATGGAGATAAATCCTCTTTTCCCAGACCCAAAAAAGGCCTGAAAGGGTTTTTTAGCAGCATCCGGCGTCACCGGAAGAGCAAGGTGGCCGAGTGTGAGAAAGCCGAGCTGCCCGAGTGGAACGGGGACACCGAGGAGGCCGGCAGAGCTCCCGGAGGGGCAGCGGAGAGCCAAGGTGCTGCGGAGGGAAAGGGACTGGCACCGGCCTCTCCTGGCACAGCCTGCCCAGGGGGCCCAGAGGATGAGCACTCCATGGGCACCGCTGATAACTGTGGGGAGGCTGAGCCCGGCTGCCTGACCGCTGCTGAGGGCAGCTCTGAGTGTGACACGGCGACAGTGCCAGGGAAGAGGGATGCTCTGGATACAAAACCGGAGTCTGATGCTGCTGTGTGCGCAGAGTTTGACCATGGTAACATGCTGCTGGCTTTTCACCCGGACTTCATGGACAACGACCCCCCCTGCCTCAACTCTGGGGACCTGCTGAGCCTCATCCTGGGAGATGCCGCGTCCCTGAAGAGCTTCGACTCCCTGACGGGGTGTGGAGATGACATCGCTGAGCCCGACATCGCCGAGAGCACCATCTCTGTGGAGCGCAGCAGAGATGCTGCGAAGCGGAGCTCCTGCTTGGTCACCTACCAGGGCGGTGGGGAGGAGATGGCCATACCCGAGGAGGCAGAGGAGTACCTCCACCAGCTATGGAACAGCAACGTGGCAGGGGACAGGAGCTACGGAGCCCAGGTGTCGAGCAGCAGCCTGGAGACCCACGCCTCGCACGAGGCTGAAGCCCACCCCTACATAGGGGATGCGATGGATGGCGTTGACCTCCTGACGCCACAGAGTGACCAGCAAGAGTCCGCCCCTAACAGCGACGAGGGTTACTACGACTCCACCACGCCGGGGCCGGAGGATGACGCCGGGGATGGGCTGGGTGAGCTCAAGAAGGATCGTCTGCCCCGGGACAGTTACAGTGGTGATGCACTTTATGAGTTCGACGCGCTGATGAGTCCCTCTCACGGGGAGGAATCCCTGTTTGAGAGCAAGATCTCCCGCCCTGGGATCTTCAGCTACTTCTTGGACTTCTGCCTCCCTGCCGAGAAGAGCCTGATCCAGATGATTGATCAGAAAAGAGGGGTGATGGAAATGGAAGAAGAGGGGCTGGTGGCCATTCAGAAAGAGCTGCTGTACTGGGAGCTGCAGCGGGAGCCGGTCTTGAAACGCCTTGATGCTCCCAGCAAGGAGAAGTGTCCCCTTGAGAAGCAGTGTGTTGAATGTAAAACCAGAGCAGCCAGCTCAATTGGCAAAAAGAGTGGCCTTGCTGGTGAGCAGGTGGCCTCGCATGCCCCAAACAGAGGGGGGAACAGTGTGGGTTCAGTGGCTAGAGCTGAAAATCCAGAGTGGAGGGATTTTCCAGGGACTCTGTGTCCAGAAAACTGTTACAACAGCCAAAAAGCTGGAAGTTGCCTTATTCAGCTCGTGCAGAACAACCCGGGGTTCGAGTCAGACCCAGACCATGGGTTGTTTCGGGACTCCATCCACGGCAGTGTCGCCCCAGCCAAAGCAGGGATGTTCCCTGGCTACAGGCTCCCAGAGGATGAGGATGGTGATGGAGAGGAGATCTCCAGGAGCAAGCCCCAGGAAGGCAGCGAGCCCGAGCACGCCGTGAGCTTCTCGCAAGCGCTGGTGGAGTTCGCCAGCAGCGGGACCCTCTTCTCCAGCCTGTCCGAAAGCCTGGGCAGCTCGGCCTCTGGCTCCTCCTTCACCCAGAACCTCCCTGCCCTCCCCACCATGGTCACCTTCGACGTGGTCGACGTGGAGCAGGAAGGAGAAGGGGAGTGCGAGCAGCATCCTGACATGACTGCAGGCGAGGACATTGCCGAGGCCTTTGAGGACAGCTACGGGCAGAAGGAGTCGTTGGCAGAATGTGACGAGCGAATGTCCCCGGGGTTCGCCCCCGGCTCCTTCCAGAGCTGCGACTGGGGCGTCACCAGCCTGCCCCGGCACCTGCGCCTGCACGGGCTGAGCCCCTCCATGGTGCCGCTCTCCATGGACCGCAGGAGCCGGTCGCTGGACACGGAGAGCCTGGAGTTTGAGCTCGCCGAGCCCCAGGCTGCCAGGAGCGGCCCCCAGCCCGGCCGGCTCTGGGCGAAGCGGGACGGTGGAGCGCGGAGGAGCAGGAGCAAGGAGGAGGGCGAGCTGGCGGCTCCCGATGGCGGGTTGAGCTGGCCAGGCTTGCAGCACCTCCAGCACGACCCTGACACAGGGATGGAGCTCTGGGGGTTCGCTCCGGCCACCACCATGGGTGGTGCCTGGGAGCCCCCGGAGCAGCCGGGCTCTGTGTCCCCTTTCCTGCCTCTTTCCCAGAGCATCTCTGGGGAGACTCCGGAGCCGGAGCTGAGCAGGCACCCGCTCAGACCCCACAACTTGCCTCTGCAGCCCGGCGCGAGGTGGTCCCGGGAGGCAGCCGGTTCCTACAGGTACCGCGGAGAAGCCGCCACCAAAACCTTGCCCCATTTGGTACCCTCGGGCGGGACGGAGCCCGAGCTGCCCCCGGGCTTCGGGTTCTCTTGTTCCCCGGAGAAACGCGGCAAGTGCAGACCCGTGGGCATTGCCCAGGGCGTTCCGCAGCATCCCAGCGGCTCCACACAGAGCCCGGAGCGCTGCGGAGAGCCCCTGAAAGGCAGAGCCCCCCCCGGCACCCGCAGCGCTGCCCTCAGCCGCACCGACCCCGAGTAGCTGCTCCGGGGAGGGAGCGGCAGCGGTTACAAAGGGAGGGAGGAAATAAAGCAGTGAGTGACTTGAAACGAGACCTGGGCTGAGGAGCTCCTCTGCTGCAGCCCTGGCCGTGCTCTCGGTGCTGTGGGTGTTCTGCCAGGGCTCGGGGTCGCCTGCGGGATTTGTGTTAACACTGGGGCACCTTCTTATTGCCCCCGTGCGTGCTCGCGTTGCTGCTGGAATGAGTGCTGGGAATGGACCCGTGGCAGGGTTGGGGGTTTCCTGCAGGGTTGGAGCCTGGGGGAAGCTGTTGAGGGAAATCAGGGTGGGGGGGGTTCTTCCTCTTCGTGGTGAAACGTTTTGGTTTAGGCTCATGCTGAATGTCTCCATCTCAGCCTCCGTTTGGGGAGGAGGGATGTTGTTTCCAGAGCGAGGATGGAGGAGACTCAGCCGAAAGGGGAACTTTGCAGTCACACCCTTATTTATTACTCCTTTTCCCTGGCCCCAAGGAGAGCAGGAGCTGGCGTGTGCGTGCTCATCCCGTCCCCAGGTCTAGTTTTGATTTGCTCAGAGATGCCACGCTTGGAGAGATGTGCCGTCCCTCTCAAGAACGAAGTATTGGTCCCTTCTTTGTCGTGGTCTGCCTTCAGTGTAGAATTCCAGTTGCAACCTTTCCCATGCATTGTCCCACGCTCCTGGCCTCTCCCACGCCATGGGCACAGGGATGAGGTCTTTGGAATAAGCTAACTCTGCCTCGTGCCTGTAGCTGTGAAGTTGCAGGTGTTGTTACTTCCTTCAGAAGGAAGATCTGGGGGTTGGTTTCTTTAATTTCCATTACTTGATGGTTGCTTTCTTTGCATAAACTCATGCGAGGGAAGTGTTCTGATGGTTGGAACACAGAATGTAACGTCCTCAGCTGGGCTCCACGGCCTCTTCCTCCCGACTGGAGGGGACGGAAGAGCTGGAGGTCGCTGCAGGTTTGGGATTTGGTTTTCCTGTTTGAGGGAGCGTGGAGGAGGGACGCGAGCTGGGACGAGCTCCTGCAAGCGTCCGCTGGAGGCTGTTGGTCCTGGAGGCATCTCCCGTGTCCTCACCCCATGATCTCAAACACACGTCTCTAAACCAAACCTCCCTGTCCATGACTCTCGAAGCTGCTTCCTCCCTGCCCTCCCTCCCTGGATCCTCATTTTCATTCAGTTCCTGACAATGGGATTTGTTCTCCCCCGAGCTGCCCCTTTTCTGTTTCTCTTTGCAGCAGAATTTGTAGCATTAAACGGAACGATCACGAACTGAAATTCCTCCTGAGCTGCCTCTGGTGTTTTCTCCCCTCTCCGGAGCAAAGTGCGGGGCAAGGGGCAGCTCTTCCTGGCCCTGACCCACTTTTCCTGCCAACTCCTGCTGCTCTCTTGACCCACAGCCCTGCAGGGATGTGGCTCCTGTTGGAAACCTCAGCAGCTCCCTGGCATCGCCGGATTTACAGGCCCAAGGAGCTGGTTGGGGTTTGGTCCCCCCCCCACCTCCCAAGCGAAATGAGGTGCTGGTATTTCCTATTGAGAAGTGATTCTTTACTGCCTTGTCCTTGTGTGTGTTGAAGGAGCAGGGAAGGGCAAAGCCAGGCTTTGCCTGCCTGCTTCTATCTGTGTTTTCATCCCTGAGCAGACTGATGAGGTTAGAGCAGACCCATCTCTGTATCCACGGGCTGAAACCTCAATTTTCCAGGGTTTTCATCCCAGTCCTGCTGCAGGGAGTCACTGCAGTGCCACGTTTCTTTCCTCCCATCCCTTTGCACATCCAGAGAGGATTTCATGGGACAAACCTGGCTCTTGATGCCGCTCCTGCTCCACATCCCCAGCCTGCAGAGGAGAACCCGGGTGGCCATGCAGGCATTCACAGCCTCTGCCTGCCCTGACAGCAACTCCTTGATGGCGTTTTAATTACTCTTTCATTTCAGCCTGTCACCAAAGGCACCTCGTGGGTTTCAGGGGGTTTCTTGTAGCATTTTGTGTCTCCATGGTGCAGCCTTTGCCAAAGTCTTGGTGAGGTGTGGAAGTGTCTCGGTGCTCAAATGAATGTTCCGTCGCAAGCGCATGTCTCTAGGGATAATCCTTCTGGTTGTAGGTACGTCGTGGGAAGGCTCAGTGCAAACAGCTTCTAGACTCGAGTGGGTGAAAGCAATACAGCCAAGACTTGATAATCTGACTTTATACCAAAGGTTTCTCCCCTTAATTGGATGGGAACTAAATGAAGCAAAAATGGATTGGCTTTAAACGAGCTTCCCAGAAGCGGTTTTGGAGCTCGTTTGCTGCATTATTGGCATACTCTGCTCCATTAACCCAAAGAAATGAAGTTTTCAATGTGCTAACCCAGCCTGTAAATTATCACTGCTGTAGAGAGACTGGATTTCAGTGCCTAACGTGCTGCTCCTCCTAAACCACCCGTCTGTCCTGGGATAAACAGGAGCAGGCCTTCTGGTCCTGATCTGGATCCAGCCGTTAGTCAGATCCTGCCTTACCTGAGGAACTCAGATCTGAGGGTGGTAGTGGAGGCTTTAATGAAAAAGGGCTTCAGATTGTCTTGCCAGGGTGTTAAGGGAATTTCCCCTTGAGGAACCCCTGGAATGCATGGGAGGTTTTGCCTCAAAGGGATGAATTATGGCTGTTAACCTGCGATGAAACCACTGACGTTGGGTCAGTCTACCAAGTAATTCTGTATTGCATTTTGGGGACTTTAGGGTTTTTTTTTTGTTTGTTTGTTTTTATACACATAAGAAAATGGTCGATTTTATCTATTTTTGTATAGTTTGGCATTTTCTATTCATGGGGAATCTTCACGGACTGTTCCTTTCCTCGTGTGCGGTGTCTGGTGAAGCGGTGTGGTTCACCCCTTCCCATGGAGAAAAGGCAACTCCTGCTGCTGCTCCCACTGCCTGTGCAATGCAAGGAAATCACCTCCTGTCACCTCATGCTCCACTCCATACCCGGGGCCCACTCCGAAACCCTGTTACCAACAGCCCTCTCTGCACACACCGCTGGGACATCTTTGCTTTCAGCAGCTTTGTCACGCTCATCAACTGCTGTTTCTTACTTTTTAAGCTTTGTTTTCAATCTGAATTTGTGGGTTTTGGTGATTTCTCCTTCAAATGTTGTCTTTAAACCCCAAAACCACGTATTTCAGCCAGGGTTTCCCCTTCTGTCTGCTTAAATTCTTCTGTCCAACTGGGGCTTTACTTAACTCCCCAGTCAGGAGATGCTGTGGGTTGGTGCATGGTGATGCTCTTGAAGCCAGGGATGAATTTCCCCTTGGTGCTCCCTGGCTGGGCTGGGAGCTTGGCCATGTCTGAGGATTGCTCTTCCCATAATCCCAAAATCCACATGGGATTAACAGGGCTTTCCACCTTCTCTTCCTCTCCTGCCATGCCAGGCTCCAGCCCCAAGCCGCCTGCATTGCCAGCATCAATAAAGCATCTTCCTGGAATAACACCACCTTGAATTTTGGGATCAGGAATGCAAGGAGAGCTTCTGGTAAGATAAGACCCAACACCAGTCCATGTGGCTCTTCTTGCTTGTGTTTTTCACTTGATTGAATGAATGTGCTGCTTTGTTTGCTTGACTCTGGAGGAGCTGTTGCAGCCCTGCGCAGAGGTAAGGGCTGAAATAGCTTCTCTGCAGAAGGCTGTGGTTGTGAGCAAACAGTGATGAGCAGCAAGAAAAGTAAGTGCTGACAAGCTAAAAGATTACAGCCCAAAGCAAGTTTTTTCCTCTTCTTGCCCCCCACCAACGCCAGCAGAGAAGGCAACTAGTGCCTAGCCGTTGGGCTCAACTGCGTGTCTTTAATAGCTCTTCACCCACTGGTGTTTGGCTTTGGATGGGGTGGGCAGGTCGCTCAGCAAACATTCCTGGGGCGCTCCGACCCGCGCCGCCTTCCACATTCCCTCTGCCCCTTAAGGCTCCCTCCTCTCCAGCTGGAGCTTCCTGCTCCTCTCTGGGTGCTGAGCCCTTCTGGAGGCCCCGCTTGGGTGAAGTGATGAGCTAGAAGAGCCTCTTGGTAATACAGAAATATAGTGATTCCCCTTGGCCCAGCCGGGGCCGCGCTGCCCCACTGCAGAGCTGGGACCGGAGGCAGCTCCTCCCCAGTGACCAACTTGTCTGAATTTGGGGTTATTTCGTTTTCTTTCTGGTCTCATTGCTACTTGTCCTTTCAACTTTTTAATGTATTGATTGTGTTTCAAAATGAATGTTCCTTTCACTGAATTCTAATGAATAAACTTCAGATTTTTAGAGAACATTGGATTTCACTTGTGGTTTGGTTTCTTCCTGCTTATTTTATGCTTGATTTAATCTTTCTTCCCCTTCTATCTCTTGATTATTTGCAAGTGAAGTGGCTTTTCAGTGGGAGAAGGCAACAGAAGAGATGCTTCAGAGAGCACAGCACGCGGCTGCTCCGTACCGCACCCTGCCAAATGAACCCTGCAGAACATCCATCATTTAAGGCACCAGCCCCCAGAGGTGAATTTTTCCTCTTCATTTCTCACTCTGTCGCTGCACTTGGCTGGTGGCCGGGGCTGATGTGGGTGATGGAGAGCAGAGATCGTGTGGCTCTGAGTTAATGAAGTGTCACTGGTGGGGTCCCTCCTCCCAGGGTTGAGCCAGCACACGGCAGCGAGCCGGGCTCCTTCCCTTCCAGCAACATTCCATAGAATCCCAGAGTGGTTTGGGTTGGAAGGGACCTTAAAGCTCATCCAGCTCCAAACCCTGCCACAGGCAGGGACACCTTCCACTAGAGCAGCTTGCTCCAAGCCCCTGTGTCCAACCCGGCCTTGAACACTGCCAGGGATGGGGCAGCCACAGCTTCTCTGGGCACCCTGTGCCAGCGCCTCAGCACCCTCACAGGGAAGAACTTCTGCCTAAGAGCTCATCTCCATCTCCCCTGGGGCAGGTTAAAGCCATTCCCCTTGTCCTGTCCCTACATCCCTTGTCCAAAGCCCCTCTCCAGGTTTCTTATTGGCCCCTTTTGATGGTGGTGAGGATATAACAGGAATTTCCATGGCATCCATGGGAGCAGGAAAACCAGTGACAGCTTCGCCTCCCTCTCTTCCCTGTGCTACTTGGTTGGCCTCACCAGTAGGTTCCTTGGTGTAGAAGGGGTTGAAGGGATGATCTGTTTTTCTATTAAGCAATAAGCATTTCTAGGGAAGCTCATCAGCATTATTGTTTTGTAGCATTAGTTTCCTGGTCTGTGAGTTTCTCCAGGCTGTGTCTTTGTATCCGGCTCTGCTGGGGCTTTGTGTGTACCCCTGGGCGATGGCACGTGCTCATGGGCACTGCTGAGAACTGCAGCTTCCCCCACCTAATAGCTGATGAATGGCTCATTCCTGATGGGATTTAATTAGCACCGCTCTGGGTGATGAGGTGCTCAGGAGTGTGTAGGGAGCATGTGGCTGATGATGGATGGGGCAGGGTGCGGAGGTGAGCCGAGGCGCCTGCTCTGCTGGATGAAAGAAACCCATCCGTCTACATGAGTCCTGCTTCGCCCCCTCCTCTTCCTCCTCAGCACCCAGCCTGGGAGACTTCATCGCTGGAATTGGGGAGGAAAGCTGAAATAGACACCCTGAGCCAAGTGATAGCTTTGGGTAAATAGAAACAATGACCAAGAGCAATGGGGATGCATCACCCCATGTGTGCATGGGGGGTGGAACCTCTCCTGCTGTTAGTGCAGACACAATGCTCCCCAAACTGTCTTCTCTGAGCATCTGCAGTCTGAGGTGTGATGGAGCACAGACCAGAGGCAAGGTGAGGGGCAGGCAGTGGTGAGAGACACTCGCTCAGGGCTCAGCTGCCTTTGGGGCAAATTAAATGAGGAGGCTGGGGGAGATGGGGCTTTTCCCTGCCCAAACAGCTCTATTTGTGATGGCACCTGCTCTGCTGGCCATGGGGTCCTGCTGCAGCACGTGGTGGGGATGGTGGGTGTCTCCGTAAGGTTGATGCAGATATCAGGAGCATCTTTCCCACCCAGCCTGCTCCGAGTACCACCGGAGGAGAGCTGCCTTCTATCCTGGCAGGAGCTTGGACGCTGTTTCATGCATTCCTCAGGATCATCCCAAGGTCTCAAAATGTATCAGAAGGCCCAGAAGACCGCTCCTGCTTCCCTCCCTCCCCTCCTCAGGCAAAAACTGCATTTGTAAAGAGCCGTAATTATCTTAGTGCTGATGAGCTGCTACATTAACGAATCTGGAGCAGCCACAGAACAAACCCTGGTTGCAAGGTGGATGCTCTGGGGAGGCTTTGTCTTTTCTCACTCCATCCACTGGAGATTCCCAGCCATCCATCATGCCAGCGAGAAGGGCAAACCTCTGCTGCAGGGGTCTGTGAGGAATCAGGCGTGTGTGCTGCCTCTCCTCCTCCTTGTGCTGCCCTAAACCTCCTTAGATGGGAGCATCCTCACTGAAATTGTGGCTGGTTTTGCTCCTGGACCACCAGATGAGGCCGAGCATCAGCTAGCAGGGAAACTGCCCTGTGCCAGGCTGAGCACAGCCACCATCTGCTGTCTACGGCCATTGTTGCCTGTAGCCATTGAAAAGCTTCAGGGCACCTCAACAGACCAGCCAGAGCTGTGCACAGGTCACCCCTACTTATGCTTGATGGCTCTAATGGGAGGCAGCTGGGAACTAATGGTGTGATAGGCTTGATGGGTCTTGGAGCAAGCTGCTCTAGCGGAAGGTGTCCCTGCCCGTGGCAGGGGTTGGAGCTGGATGAGCTTTAAGGTCCCTTCCAACACAAACCAGTCTGGGACTGTGGGACTGGTTTATCCAGGGACTGCCAGGGCACGGACTGGCAGGGGGATGCTCCAGGAGATGATTCCACCTTGTCCCTGCATTGCTTTCCCCTTCTCGCACCACCTTCCTGCTGCACACATGGCAGGAGAAGCATCTGGCTGTGGCAGTGGAGCCGTGCTGATGAGGATGGTGTGATGGACACTTGGGATGGCTCATCCCACCGGGAATGCTTCAAACTTAATTGCCTGCTAGTAAATACAAATCGGCTCGTTCACTGCAAACAAGGCTCTGCTGACAGGAGCACCCTGGCAGGCAGCTGTCATCATGCAGATGTGTTCCACACTTTGAAGCGTTTCTTCTTTTATTCCCCTTTTTATTCCAAAGTCATTTAAAAAGCTTCCACACAACAACATCGTTCCAGCAGGAAGACGCGAGCATCTGTGATGTCTGCAGGATTCCTTGTGGCTCTTGTTTCCCAGACTGGAGCAAAATGGGTCTTTCCAGCGCTGAACGTGGCTCTGATGAAGGTCCCAGCTGTGGATACCCGTTAAAAACCCCAAAACATGAAGACTGTGAACCTCACCTCAAGGGAGGAAGGGGTGGTTGGGGCAGGGCAGCTCCAGGGCTTTGAGCTTAGGGTGCAGCTCAGCAATAACGTGGGTGCTGAGGGGGGACCCGTGGGACTGAGATCCCAACTGGGACCAGGCAAAGCCCAGCCTGGCCCCTGTTTCTTAAGCCTGGTGTGATAGTGGCCAGCCCATTGATCCAGGCAGTTGCTGGGGATCTGGGGCCATGGAGCTCTTCCCAGTGTCCCTGCTGCACCACCCGCTCTGTCAGGCTTTGCTGTGTGTTACATTCAATCTTTAGTTCTCTAAACCCTCACTTGAAGCAGAACTCCCTGCTCGGGGGGGGGGGTGTGAAAGCACCGGTCAAGGTAAATCCCTTTTCAAAGGTGCACAAAGCCAGAGGGGTCAGGCAGGATCTACTTAACGGGATTGCTGCCATGGGAGAGATCGTCGGGCAGGGAAAGCCCTTTGTGCCCCTGAACTCTTCAGGGATGGAACACAAGAACTGGAAATAACGTTTCACCTTGGAAACAGGCAAAGCCAAAGAGACGTGGGGCCGGGGACCAGGCTGCATGCAGGGAATGACCGGGTCCTGGTTAGTTGCTGCTCTGTCGCAGGGGGCTGGACCACATCCCTGAGCATCACTCCTTTTAACGAGGCTTTTCCCCCTGGAACTGCTCCAGTCTGTAACGGCATCAGGAAAGCTGCTGACCTGAGCCTGGGCCCGAGGGCTGGGGAAAGGTCCTGAATCTCTGACTGCTCTTAGCTCCCTCCAGAGAGACCTTTAGGTGCTGGGACAACCCCTGCGCTCCCTGAGGAGCTTTCGAACGCAACTCCCGCTCTGGGCAGGAATCACACCCGCCTGCCGGGATTTTGGGACCAGTTTTGATGCTGGGCTGACCTCTAAGGGCGAGCTCAGTTATTGCAGTTATCCGGCTGCAGTGAGGCTGAGCCAGCATTCCCCTAAGTCCTTCCCAGGGCTTTCTGGGGACACAATGGGGGGAAACACGGAGATAGTCCAGAGCTTCACACTCCCATGGGTCTGGCCTCCCTTGGTCCATGAGCCTTCAGCATCAGCTGCTCTA